GCAGAAAACACAAAAGAAAAGGATGTCGCTCTACGTATCGCCTGTGAAGGTCCTCGCCACAGTACGTCGCCTCTTCACTTTTTTGTATTCCCGTCTTTCTATGGTTCTAGGGTTTAGGGTTTAGGGTTTAGGAGTTCCGTGCTGCAGGTGTCTGGCAGGGTTTTAATTTCTTTGTGTTTCCTTCACAAGCTGTTGTTAGTTGTATCATTGTCTGCATAGAGTGTCTATCTAGCAATTCATATCTGGGGTGTACATACAGCTCATCGTTTGCTGTTAAAGCGGTGATGTGTTTGCTGCAGGGCACTGCTCTCCTGACTTCAGTACGCAGCTAAGAAACTCGAAGCAGCCGCCTACGCAGTAGCAGCAACTGCACACTTCTCGCCATAGTAACAGCAGCAGCAGCAACAGCAGCAGCAGCAGCAGCAACAGCAGCAACAGCGGAAGCAGCATAAGCAGCAGCAGTGAAATATTCAACAAATTCTTTCTAAGGAGTTTCTTTTGTTGTGTGCGATGTGGTACTGCGTGCAGGCATTTGTGCGTTTTATAAATAACACAGCGAAGGAGAAAACAAATAGAAGACGAATTTAATTATTTAATTAAATTAATATCTTCTCCCTTTCCCTCGCTAGCTTTCACAGCCACCCCTCTGAAACTGTCTGTACACTGCACGCTGGCGGCAGAAGCCCCATGCCGATGCTGCTATTGCTGCTGTTGCTGCTGCTGCTGCTGCTGCTGCTGCTGCTGCTGCTGCATGTGCGCGCAGACACTCATGAAGAACGGCTCATCGGGTTTGAAATCGCTGCTTAGTGTGCTGTGGTCACCACAGCTGGAGAAACCCCCTATAGAAAACGATGACAGTGGATTCGACTGAAGGGCGAGGTGCAGCTGCAGCAGCTGCAGCAGCAGCAGCAGCAGCAGCAGCAGCAGCAGCTCACGCGCCTTGAACTGAAGCGGCAGCAACAGGAACCCTGTTTTAGCCTCATATCAGATGGCTGCATGCTGCAGCTCTACGTTTTGCTTCTCCGAATGACTGGAACGACCAGCAGGAGGAGGAGCAGCAGCAGCAGCAGCAGCAGCACACACGCCTTGAGCTGCAGCAGCAGTGTACACTATCTGCTGCCAGCCAATTTTCTTTACTGCGGCTGATGCAGCAGCAGAATTCTTAGCTGTGTGTTGCTGCTGCTCTTTTGCTGGGAGCATTTGCATGCGTATCTATGCATGCTTTCCGGTTTCACGTGGTGCGCCTAAACGGGGTGTATGTACACCACCACCTTCGTGCGTGCATGTCGTGTGTTTCCCTTGTTTAATTCAGTTTGAAATAATATAGGTGCAGTATTACATTACCAGTGTTTGGTTATTTTATTGCTGAGTAATGCGGCCTGTTCGGCGCGCATGCATTTGTTTCATTTCACCTGGGAATGTTTTCCAGGTGTATATGCAGGTAGGGGCGTACCGGATACAGCCCCG